CAGGATCTCCTGCAGCAGACAGACAGGGAAGGGCAGGTCCAACAGACACCACAGGATCTCCTGCAGCAGACAGACAGGGAAGGGCAGGTCCAACAGACACCACAGGATCTCCTGCAGCAGACAGACAGGGAAGGGCAGGTCCAACAGACACCACAGGATCTCCTGCAGCAGACAGACGGGGAAGGGCAGGTCCAACAGACACCACAGGATCTCCTGCAGCAGACAGACGGGGAAGGGCAGGTCCAACAGACACCACAGGATCTCCTGCAGCAGACAGACAGGGAAGGGCAGGTCCAACAGACACCACAGGATCTCCTGCAGCAGACAGACAGGGAAGGGCAGGTCCAACAGACACCACAGGATCTCCTGCAGCAGACAGACAGGGAAGGGCAGGTCCAACAGACACCACAGGATCTCCTGCAGCAGACAGACAGGGAAGGGCAGGTCCAACAGACACCACAGGATCTCCTGCAGCAGACAGACAGGGAAGGGCAGGTCCAACAGACACCACAGGATCTCCTGCAGCAGACAGACAGGGAAGGGCAGGTCCAACAGACACCACAGGATCTCCTGCAGCAGACAGACGGGGAAGGGCAGGTCCAACAGACACCACAGGATCTCCTGCAGCAGACAGACGGGGAAGGGCAGGTCCAACAGACACCACAGGATCTCCTGCAGCAGACAGACAGGGAAGGGCAGGTCCAACAGACACCACAGGATCTCCTGCAGCAGACAGACAGGGAAGGGCAGGTCCAACAGACACCACAGGATCTCCTGCAGCAGACAGACAGGGAAGGGCAGGTCCAACAGACACCACAGGATCTCCTGCAGCAGACAGACAGGGCAGGGCAGGTCCAACAGACACCACAGGATCTCCTGCAGCAGACAGACAGGGAAGGGCAGGTCCAACAGACACCACAGGATCTCCTGCAGCAGACTGACAGGGAAGGGCAGGTCCAACAGACACCACAGGATCTCCTGCAGCAGACTGACAGGGAAGGGCAGGTCCAACAGACACCACAGGATCTCCTGCAGCAGACTGACAGGGAAGGGCAGGTCCAACAGACACCACAGGATCTCCTGCAGCAGACAGACAGGGAAGGGCAGGTCCAACAGACACCACAGGATCTCCTGCAGCAGACAGACAGGGAAGGGCAGGTCCAACAGACACCACAGGATCTCCTGCAGCAGACTGACAGGGAAGGGCAGGTCCAACAGACACCACAGGATCTCCTGCAGCAGACTGACAGGGAAGGGCAGGTCCAACAGACACCACAGGATCTCCTGCAGCAGACAGACAGGGAAGGGCAGGTCCAACAGACACCACAGGATCTCCTGCAGCAGACAGACAGGGAAGGGCAGGTCCAACAGACACCACAGGATCTCCTGCAGCAGACAGACAGGGAAGGGCAGGTCCAACAGACACCACAGGATCTCCTGCAGCAGACAGACAGGGAAGGGCAGGTCCAACAGACACCACAGGATCTCCTGCAGCAGACAAACAGGGAAGGGAGGGTCCAACAGACACCACAGGATCTCCTGCAGCAGACAGACAGGGAAGGGCAGGTCCAACAGACACCACAGGATCTCCTGCAGCAGACAGACAGGGAAGGGCAGGTCCAACAGACACCACAGGATCTCCTGCAGCAGACAGACAGGGAAGAGCAGGTCCAACAGACACCACAGGATCTCCTGCAGCAGACAGACAGGGAAGGGCAGGTCCAACAGACACCACAGGATCTCCTGCAGCAGACAGACAGGGAAGGGCAGGTCCAACAGACACCACAGGATCTCCTGCAGCAGACAGACAGGGAAGGGCAGGTCCAACAGACACCACAGGATCTCCTGCAGCAGACAGACAATACAATACACTACAATACAATGTATCGTTGTATAGCCCTAGGTCACAACAAAATCATCTCAGAGACTTAACAAAACCATTGAAATCACCAACACAGGTCAGAGAATCAACAGTTAAAACACATGAAGAATATAAAGCACACACAGAAGAAAATGTCCATACATGTTGTAGAATGCTAAAGTGTCCTGATCATCACCAATCCTTTCTGTTGGACACTAACTGTCCAACAAGACCCTCCTGCATCCACAAGGAACAACTCTTAAAAAACCCAGTGGGAAAAAGTGAGAAACCTTGGGGAGAACTAGGGAAACCCACAGGGAGGGAGACCCATATGAGAAAGGGATCCGCTCCTCCGGACGGACAGGCTAATGATCCAGGACCTAAGCTAGCTACAGAACGTGGACCAGTGGCCGCTGAACGTGGACAGGTCCGGTGCAGGACTGAAGCACTCCCAGGCGGGTCGGGCGGGGCAGTCCGCAGGTGTAGATGGAAGAGGCCAGGCTCAGAGATCCCGTCATCGTACCATGAAACAGACAATGGGACAACGGGTGAATAGCAATGAACAAACTACAGTCAGAATCCTAAAAATGCTAAACAGATAAAGTAGGAAGGAGGAGAGGATAGTGCTCAAGTTACCATACTTCTCCAGCAGGGGGCGCCCTATGCAGCTTGACTGACAGTCTGAGGAGTTTAACCTTCTCCGAGTCTTACCTTCCTAGCCATATGCTAAACTAAAGAGGACTGTTTTAAACCTAGCCTTGAATAAAGAGATTCATGGATTGCACACCAGGTGTGCAAACCGATCCAAGCAAACCTAATTATATATGTATATATATCATATACATCATATATACCATACATACCATATATATCATATATAATACATACAGCATAATATATAACATAATATACAACATAACATAATACATATATTGTATAATATATAACATAATACAGCATATATATATATATAACATATACACCATATATTATATATGACCTAATTATATGCTAAATTAAAGTAAAGTGCTTTAAGCCTGGCCTTGAATGTGGAGACCGTATCTGCTTCCTTAACATAAATGAAGCTGATTCCACAGTAAAGGAGCTTGGTAGCTAAATGCTCTGCCACCAACAGTGACCTTTGAGACCTTAGGGACCACCAGACGTCTGGCGTTTTGTGAGCGCAACGCTCGACCTGGTTGATACGACACTAACGTGTCTTGGAGATAAGAAGGAGCCAAGCCATTTATGGCTTTATATGTTAAGAGAAGGATTTAAAACTTTATTCTGTACTCCACAGGAGCCAGTGGAGTGATTTTAACACCGGAGTTATGTGCTCCCTCCTTTTGGTACCTGTTAAGATCCTAGCTGCTGTATTCTGAACGAGCTGGAAGCTCTTCAAAGAGGCTTTAGGGCACGCTGCCAGTAAAGCGTTACAGTCGAGCCTTGAGGTGACAAACGCGTGAAAAAGTTTTTCCGCGTCACTTTTAGGAAGGAAATTCCTAATTTTAGCGATGTTCCGTAAGTGGAAGTACGCCGTTTTAGTTGCTTGGCTTATATAAGCCTTGAAGGAGAGTTCTTGGTCAAAAATGACTCCAAGATTCCTCACAGTGTTACTGGGTATAATACTGACATTATCAGAGTAATTATCTGGTTAGTGAGGGAGTCACGCAGGCGCTTCGGACCGAGTAGGATCACTTCTGTCTTCTCCGGGTTGAGAAGTAGGAAGTTAAGAGTCATCCACATTTTAAGGTCCTTTATGCAGCACTGAGCTTTTCTAGCTGATCTGTCTGATTAGGCTTCATCGACAGATAAAGCTGTGTGTCATCTGCAGCAGTGGAAATTAATTCCATGCTTTTTAATAATGTTTCCTAACGGCAGCATGTAGAGAGTGAAAAGAATCGGTCCGAGTACCGAACCCTGCGGCACACCGAATTCTACTCCAGAATAAGGCGACGAGTTCTGATTTACGTTGACGAAGTGATACCGATCTGATAAATAGGATTTAAACCAGCCAAGGGCTGTTCCTCTAACGTACAATTTACACAAGAGGCGTTAACAGCGCGTACGCGTTGGCTACGCGCATATTCGCGTATCTCCAGAAGCGTATATTTACACATAAAGCGTCTCGGAAGCAGAAGCTAACTGGCGTCTCTGGTGACAATACTTTTCATTTCATGAATAAAATGGGTAAGTAATTAACGTTATATGATATCTTGTACAATTTTATGAAGGATTTTTGTTTTATTAAGCACTGCCTATTTGTCTAGTGTTTGCTTAATAATTGTATGTTTGCTAGCGTGTTTTAGCTTAGCTTGTGTATTTATTTATAGAAACAGCTCAGAGTAGAAGGAGAACCTTGGCCTTTCTTCTCCTGGTGGAAGAAGTACAAAGACAGGAGACAACGGGCCAGGCGTCTTTGGGTACATCCCATTAATCAGCAGCAGCAACAACAGGGTGACTTCCACCACCTTGTGGCCGAGCTGAGACTTGATAGCCAAAAACACCACCAATATTTTAGGATGAGCGCGGAGAAAATGGACACTCTTCTCTCCTACATTGGACCAGAAATATACAGGCAAAGCACCACCTACAGGGCTGCAATTGAGCCTAAACAAAGACTTGCTGTAGCTTTGAGGTAAGCAGGAATGCACAAAAGCATGCAAACAATCATTTTTATTGGTAAAGTACTATTACAAAAATTTACAAAATACTTTTGTAAATAGAAAAATACAAACATTTTAATTATAAAATACATATGTTTACAACATTAACAAATGCTCTTTCAAATGGTTCTTCCAAAGCCAAATAAAACACAAGCCTGAACAGGAAATTTAAGTTTTTTCTTTTCTTTTTGGGTTTACAAATTTTGATAGGTATTGTACTCTGATGCACTGTGCTCCCACCTCTGATCAGATGGCATATGCATATATGATTGCATTTGTTGTGGGTGTGATTGGAAATGGGTTGCTTCCATTTGGGTAGGACATGAAGAGAGAGACGAGGGTGGTGATTGTTGAGGAACAGCCTGTCCTCTGTCCTCGAAACTTCCCAGACAACGAATAACAGCCAGTTTTGCCTCTCTCCTGGTATTTCTATCCATTCTATTCAGGATTGGTACAAGACTCATAACAAAATGATACGACTCATCCAAATCGCTTACTGGTGGTGTGACTTTATTCACAGGCTCTTCTAAAATGGACAGAAGATGTTGTCCTAAAGTTGAATTTCCTTGCTGGGGTCTCTTCCTTCCCTGAGAACTTCTTTCAGTGGTAGTAGCCGAGGTAACAGCAGCTGAACTGGAACCAGAGTGTGGCGTGGGAGCTCTGGAGACATCTTTAGATGTTGATGTTGATGGTATGGGTGTGGGTGTGTATGATGCAGATGATAAATGACTGCAAGGAGGGTCCTCTGCCTCTTCTGGTGGTGTGGGGCTACAAGTCTCATCCTGCTCCAGAAGACTGTAGTCCAAGTTTGATGTAGAACTGAAAAGAGAAAGACTAAATACATTATGCACACACAAACAATGACGAATGACTACCTCATCTTATCTTATTTATGTTTCTGTTTACGTGTGCAATTGTTTGATTCTCTAATTTGTAATGAACAATTATGTGATGCCCTCTGAGATGACTTATAGTTATTTTGGGAAATACAAAAATAAATTGAATGGATTCAGCTAATACACTGTATTAACGGGTTATTAACCGAGCGCGAGGTCTGTATGGAGAAAAATCAGACCTTGGCCTTTTTGCACGGGTGGGTCTGTGCATTAAGGCCGCGGTCTGATATTTCTCTGCACAGACCGAGCAAGCAAGGTTAATAAATGTTTTATTATACGACTCTCGTCTGTGTCTTTACCAATGCTTTTGAGATATTTGTGAAGTATGTTCATGTCCGACTTGGTTTTGTGTGATACACGCTGCGGACAGATTGTCATGGTAACGGTCCGAGGAAAGATATCAAATGTGATACGCGCTGTTCGGACCAATTGTCATGGTAACGGTCCGAGATGGGAAAATATCAGACCGGTAATCAACCAATCAGAGTGCGCGTACGGTCCAAGTCATATAATAATAACGGCTTATTAAACGAGCGCGAGGTCTGTAGAGAGAAATATCAGACTGCAAATCAATCAATCAGAGCCATATAATAAAATTGTATATCAGACACATTTTAAAATTAATAATATTATCTCTTGTCTTCATCAATGTAACAACAACTTTTATCTTTTGCACAATTTCACAATACCTTCTTGTTTGTTGTTGTATTAAATATAGACTAAAAGCAGATGTGAATTTGATTGACCCGGAATTGAACTCTGTCTCTTTCCCAAGCAAAAAGACCTGTGCCCTCAGGGATTAAGTCACAAGGACACAGGATAAGCAGACGGGAATCATAAAAAGATATCGCCTTTGAACAAGGCGAATTATTAACGTTAGATAATAAACATTATCTGCTGACGAGAGCGAAGTCCCTCACCATCAGGCGGAAAGGGAATTCACCAACAGCATTCTGACGCCTCCCAGTGGACAAGGGACGCCAGCACACCCGGCTGGAAAAACCCTTGGGCGCATATGGATGACGTCATCGGAAGTCTCCTACATATGACCTCCCTGAAGGTCTTTGAACAGTCAGTCAGCACAGGGGCCAGCGAAGGGACAGGAATAGAGTAGGAGCTTGTTGAATATTCTGTATCTGATTGTAAAGATAATTAAATGCAGATGTTAAACTTGGAGAATCTTTGTCTGATTTCTGTACCAAACTTTGAACACGTCAGTCAAAGGGAATTTTTGCCCATCATTTGGTGAAACCCGACGTGATGGTGCAGGAGCAAGACAGAGATGAGCTCAGTTATAGAGACTGGATTTGTGGGTCTGGAAAATCTCTCTCTCTGCTCTTCACAAATGTCGCTTCTAAAGAGGTAAGCGGATCATAGTTTTGAAAATCTGCACATTTTTTTAAATAGAAGAGAGAGAGATTTTGGCTCGACAGATTGCAGCGTGGACAAGACCGCCGTGATGGGTGTTCTATCGGACGCGATAGAACAATAGTCAGGTTTAGACGTTTTTAGCCTTGGGGGAAGCATGGGTCCCTCCTTAAATAAAACAGAACATAGATGATGAAAAGAGCCACAGGGTTTAGAAGTGCAAAAGAGGCACACCTTCTTAAAGTGCAGAGAGGCACAAGTGTATTAGTGAAAAACTAGGAATAGAATTAGAGAAATAGGGACAGCTTTAGGGTCAGAAGTGATAGGATAATAAAACCTCCATATCCCCCGGGGGGCGGGAAAAAGGGTACATTTAAACAGAAAAAAGCCAAGTATTTAAAATGTGGATTCTGATAATAATGATCTGATTAATGAGAAAAAAGAGAGCCACTTGGCTGTAAATACGAGTTTTCATGTGAAGAAATGACCAGAATGATCAGTTATGGAAGTTTTTCTCTTGTATTGTGATGTAATGTTTCAATAGTTACAGAGGTATTACGAAAAAGATCCGTCTGTACCTAGTGATGCATTAGTCATGTAAGCAAATTGTAATGTTTTCCATTACTGACGTATTTAAGGATAAAATGTAAAGTGTCGTTTGACGTGAGAAAAACTTTTACCACTGATTAAGACCTTGTCACGATAAAAA